GCCAACTCTCACCTGTCCCGCCCACCCCCCCTCCCTGGCAAACCACCACCTGCACAAGCAAACCAACCCCCGCCCGCTTGCCCCCTCGACATCTCAATCTAGCACTCCGCTAGCAGAAGCAAGCAGGTAAAGGTTGAGGGTAGGGGGTGAAGGTGCGGGAAGCTGTGCCAGGAAGCTTGAGGCATGCGAAGCAGATGCGCGCTTTCAAAAACAACTAGCCAAGACGAAATCAGTGGCCGGGTATGAGTTGTTCTGACGACTAACATTCCTTTGAGGTGTTCTGACAATTTACCTTTCGTGGCAAACATCGCCAGCCTGGCCGAAGTCAACAAAACATCTGTGACTCGGTCCTGGCTGACGTCCGGAGAGTCACCGAACAACACTGTAACTCGGGTTCTGGCACCAACGCTTTCCGTACGCGGAAAGTTGCTGCAGAATGATCTTCAATCACGTAGCAGTGAAGACGATCGCGCTGCAAGGTCGTGGCAAAGCGGATGGCGTAGTCAAAGCTCCTGAGATCGGGGGTTGCTCGCCAATTGTTGACAAAGTTGCGCACCTCTCCAGTGACGTCAGCGGGTCGGATGACGTTTTGACGGTCTTCTTGGAGATCTTCTAAAGAGAAGCCGGGTGGAAGGTTGAAAGGAACATACAGCGGTTTTCCAGGAACAGTCCAATAATCCGTCAAGCGTTCTCCTACGGAAGAGATGGTCATGGTGCAACACATCCCCAATCCGGTCCATTTGGCGAATCCCTGTGCACATGAAAGTGTCCGAGAAATCCTGTCCTGTGCGTTCAGCAAGAAGGACAGTGAGCTAAGCAATGCTGGCGTCAGGATGCAAACACCACAGCGTGACAGGAAGGAAAGCGCTCTTCACGAAGAAGGCGACCAACTTGGCCGACCTTGAAGGGCAGGCAAATAATCCGTGATTGGAGCGCACTAGAGGCGACGGGTGAAAGAGCTCAAACAAAGGTCTGGGCGAAACGCAAGAGGCAGGTATCGGGTCGTGCAACGGCCAATGCCCGCAATATTACTGCAACGGACAATGATGTCCCACGGAGCATCCAGTTCAATAAAGTTGGGTGGCAACGAGATTGCCTTGTGGGAGTCGCGCAGAGATGTGCCTCGGATCAATGTGGGCTGCGATCTCAGATTGGTCAGGCAGGCTAGTTACGCGACAATGGCACCTAAATCAAGCAGCTCACAATGGATGACCCCGAACGTGGTCCTTGGCTTGCATACAGAGCTCATGCACAAAAGATCCTTGCCACCACAGCCAGGCTTTGACCTCAGTCAATGTCCCTGATGGGTCGGAGACACAGGAAATGCAGGGGGGTCACCAACCCCATTAGGCAAACCAACGTGAGGTTGGGAGGAAACGAAGCTGGGCGAGATCACCAGCACAAACACTGTCAGCTGACACTGGTCACCCCTCGGACGATGGTCTAAAACGTTTGCACGGTGGTGCAACAGCATCTGTGCTTACAGGATTGGCAATCACAGGGTGGGTCCAAGCATGAGTGGGTGCGGGAGATGCAACCTCAGGTTCATCGAAGTCAGGCTGCGCAACGGTGTTTCCTGAACTTGTTGCTCAACACCCGGGCCGCCTCTCGCTTGAACTTAAACTTTAAGATCTGCGCAGGTGGGCCCAGGCAAACCAAACTTTGCACCTTCCCACTCAGGGCTGGACACACCACGTCAAACAGCCTCCATGATATTCACTCGCCGATTGTTCTGGCCATGGTCTGCGAACTCTTGCAGGTGGCCCATGTAGCGACTCATCCACTCAGGATGGTCCGCCAAACTGCCGAGTTGATGATGCAACGCCTGTGGGGGCAAATGCACACATGGACCATTTCCCAGAATGTTTTTAACATGGCTTGACGCTGGCGACGGCTATTTCTCCCGACTCGTCATTTGGAACTTCGCGCGCAGCCGCAAATTGACTCGCTTACCCTATAGCCAAACTAGAAAGCTCTTGTTCTGTTTCTTTGGGGGGGAAGTAAACGGTGGACCTCGTGTGGGTGCGTTGCGGCAACCCTCGTCAACATAGCCCACATTGAGGAGCAGCCGACTGAGCTTGGAACATCAAACAAGTCACAACATTCACAATGCATATTGGCCCACCTCCCTTTTGCCTGGCCTAAACTATGGCAGCCGCAGTGCTGCGGCTAAGACAGACAAACAGACACACCGACAAAAGGTAGGACGGAAGGAGGCAACAAATAAATATTTATGTGCTTGTCTTGTAGTCGTTTTGTTACTGTCTGTATTGTTTGTTTCGGTGTTGTTCTTTATGTCTTTCGCTATGTCTTTCATTCGTTTGTTATGTCTGTCTTTCTAGATGTATTTGTGTATTTGTTGATGTTGATTCGTATTGTTTTTCTGTGGTACTTATTTGAACAGACAGACATCAAGAAAAGAGAATGAACAAAAAAATAAACAAATGCCAAAACATATAAATAACGAAATAACTAAACACAGAAATAACAAAGTAACAAAATACAAAAGACAGAAATAAGGCAAGAACGAAATACGTAAATAACAAAAACACATAAGCATATAACACAAAAAGAAAGAACACACCACCAAGAAATGAATAAAACAAATATATAAATAGGTGCAATGATATTGGATAAATAAAAGACATAAAGACAACAATAAGGAATCAAACACATAAAGAAAGAACGAGAGATCGAAAGACATAGCGAACAAGATATGAATACATAAAGTACTAGTCAAATATGTAAATAACAAACATGTATCGATATATTAAGGCAAGCGACTGAACGAAAACAAGACATAAAACAGAAAACAACAAAGACAAGACATGACATAACACAAGAGAAACACATAAATAACAACATGTAAATGAGCAAAAACAGGAACTACCAAAACGAAAAGCTGAAAGAACAACACAACAACAGAACAAATCAACAAAGGCACATAATATTTGGAATGGTGTGGATGCTTTTTGTTGGGGAGAGGGGGCTAACGGGACAAAAACAGGACAAAAACACAAATATTTGGATTGGTCTGGATGCTTCTGCTGAGGAAGGAGGGTTGAAGCAACCAAAACCCACAGTTGGATCTGTTTGGACGCTTGTGTTGGGACGGTGGGGCTGAAGGAACTAAAACACATAGTTGGATTGGGTTGGACGCTTTTGTTGGGAGGGGGAGTTGGATTGCTGGGGAGCCATATATTAGTTGATTGGTTTGGATGTGGAAGGGGGTGGAAGGATCTTCTTTCCGACAAACAAATCGAACTATAAGCAAGTCGCGGGCCCCAACTCCAGTAAGGGTGTGCGGCTGCAAGAACTAGGACGGGTGAGCCACAAAAATAAGTCGAGGCGGCCTAGCTTCGGAAGAAGCGGTTGAAATCTTAGCCCATTTTGGGCTGACGCCCCAAAATCCTAGGCTTCGGATCTGACTCAACTCTATTCAGTGCCCGTGCCAGGTACCCAAATAAGCACCGCGCCAGCCTCGAAACTCTCGTTTTTGTGTTTTTTGGGATCTCGATCCCATGGAGGCTCGTCATTCCCCCCCCCCCACAAAGAAAGCAAACACGCTCCGTGCGCGGTCTCTCCGTGTGGTCTGAATTTGCCGCCCCCATAAAGCATTCGTTGGAGCACTGGGTCATGGCCTCCTTGAATTGGTTGGGTTGCACACTTGGAAGACGCAGGCTGTAATTATTTCCACTGCTCGGGGGTACACGACCCATGCCTGGGTTCAAGTCCATTTGGGGCCAAATTTTGGACATCTGGGTACTCCAAAATCACATATTCTAATTCAGTTTCGACCCCGGGAACCCTCAAACAGATACAGAGGATTCCCTATAACTCCCTAGCAGGACCTGGAACAACATTCACCGGAAGTGTAAGTCGGTCCCTTTTCAGATTGGACCCAAACTGGTTTACGTTTCCTTTCGGTTTCCCTTTCTTGCCTTTAATCCACCAAAGCCAAGGGTACCAATTCCAAAAAGACAAACCCAAATGGACAAAACATGGGAACTCATGAGGCTCTTAGCCCAAGAAGGCTGAATCCCTACGCCCCACTCCCAACAACACGAGTTCCCCGTGTCTTCCTTCTGAAGCCACCGGTCTCTGGAGCCGTCCCGACGCGTCTCCCGACGCCCAACGAGTCCCGTCCCGTCCAACGAGGCCGGCGCATGGCGGTGACGCAGCTCCGCGCCACGAAGCCCTGGGCGTCGCGCCAGAACTTCTCCTTGGCCTTGGGCCGGTCCTTCAGCAGCGCCTCGACTCAGGCTCGCTGAGAAGGCTCGCGCTGACCCGAAGCGCTCGGTAGGGAAAAAGGGGGGAAAGACATAAAAGCCATGAACATATGAGCAGGGGATGGTTTCCGGAAAGGGAACCTTCGTAGGGAGAAGGGGGTTTAGGCTCCATCCATCCGAATCCATCCCTCCAGCCATCCACCATCCGTCCATGCATCCATCCGTCCATCCATCCATCCATCCATCCATTCATCCATCCGCCCATCCGTCCGTCCGTCCGTCCGTCCAATAGCCAACGACATGTATCTATCTATAGTGCCTCATCAAAGGCTGGCTGACCCGCTGGCTCGGTCGATCAGGGAAGGAGGGGGAAGAAAAATACCCCGAAAAGATGAGAATAAAGACATCCCCGGGTCGCTGTCACGTGCCATGGCAACGCGCGACGTGAGAGAGAGAGAGAGAGAGAGTGTTCGTCAAATCTCGTGACGGGTTCCCAAAAAGGGGGATTTGATATCATGGGTTGGCTGATCCACCCCCCCTCCCTTTTCAGAAGGAACGCCCCAGGAAGTGTCTGGCCAGATGAGGGTTGGCCACCCAATGTAAGGACTGACATGATATTGGTTTCAAAGAAACATGGATCCACTGGAGAATACTAGGGTGCCAATTGTGAGTCCGAGCTCGCCAACTTTTGCTTGGTTCTCAGCGGCAGCCTGGGAAGGGTTTTCCCAAATCTACCATGTCCCGTGAGGTCCAACCCCAACTGGGAACCCAAAATAGGTGGTTCCCTTTTTGGCTTTCCTTTGAGCCAAATTCCAGAAGGGTGCCCTAAACAAAACACACACTCACACACACAAACACACTTGTCGCAGTCCAAGGGAATTTCAGCAGTGGTTGAAACATGGTGTGTGTGTGTGTGCATGTCTTGACGGGAGCCTTTTCCCCTTGGCTTGAAGGGAAACTTGGTCAAACACGAAATCCCCTGTTTGACGCGCACCCATATGTTTCAACAAGTCCTAAGGTTGGCTGTACCTTTCACCACACCCGCAAACTTGCTTTGGCGCTCTCGGTGGGGAGCTCTTCCAAAGCCGTTTAAAGAAAAGCCTGACACTGTCATCATGGTTGCTTTACCTTTTTCTCAGGACATCCACTGGTTTATCAGGAAAATGGGGCGTCGATGTTGTGAATTCCACCTGTTTGTTCCTCTCTCAAACTCTTGCACACCTGGATCCCAAAATAACGCATCCAAACCATGTCCTAGAGTGAAGAGTAATTCCCCGAGCTGTCCAAAGCAAACATCGATACGGAAAAGCTTCCTGGCCAGGATGGCCAAAGCTACATTTCACAATTTCCTTGCGGGTCAGGGGATGACTAAACCCAACTTGCCAAATTGTGCCGGGGCACGAGCTCTACCAACCCCCCTGAAAATAGATTTCCAACTCTTGGTTGTTGCCTTCAGTCCATGGACCATGCACAAAGGGAGCTTGCTGTCTTTGGAGTCCAGCAAGCAGCAAGGGGCTGCCTATTTTGCGACGTGGACGAATTGAAATACAAACTGGCCCCAAAACCCATTTCTCCAAGAAATGATAATTGGAGGACCTCAAAAGGACCCAACAGAATCAAAGAAACCGTCACTCATCGATACAATGCGGAAGGTCATTCATTGATTGAAGGGTCTGGGAATAGATCGACAATCCGTCACCGGCACTTGCCACAAAGGCCCTGGAACGTTAACATGCTGATGAAGTTTGGTGACCTGCTTTTACATGGGTACGTCTTTTAGGGTAGCCTTTTGGGATGGCTTTAGAACCAAAAGAAAACCACCGATATTGAGGGCGCCTTATTGGAGACACACCCACATGCATGCGAGCAATTGCGGGCAACTTGGACAACTGCTTGCTGCTGTTTCTGCAAAACATGATTAACTTACAATAAGGCGCAGAGTTCACATTCAAAAAACAAGCAGACATGGTTGCCATCCCCCCCTTAAACTCTTTCACATCCCCAGTCACGGACTTCCAAAGGCGGCTATCTGTACCTAGTCCCTAGGCTGGGATGGCTTCTTCGGTCCATCGGGAAACGTCCCACGTTTCGGATCCAAGGAGCGGTGTAAAACATCTCCGCCAGCAGACCCGGGTGCTGCCTCAACCCCAGGCACAAATGGCCCGCAAAAAAACAACAACACACATTCCTATAACCAGCACATTGGTTGGACCTGATTCATTGGTTGGACTCCTTGGTGGACAGCAATTACAAGAACGGCCAATATGCCCCCCAAGAGAACATGAGAACATTTGGTGGTCTGAACGCCTGGTGTTCAATGGAACATGTGTCGCCCTACATGTCCTCCCCAAACGGACAGCATTTATACCATGTCAGCTGCATGCATGTCCGCCAACCACGTCATGGAACTACAAGTCATCAGACGTTTGTCCGAACCCTTCCTGGGGATAGGCACACCATCCGTTCGTCAGCTGCATCTCTGGAGGGGATGGCGCTAAGTTGCGTTTGCTGTGCCTGTCGAATTTGTGACTGATATGTTGAAGACATGTACAACTCAACAAAACACTAGTTTCTGAGCAAAACGATGGTGAATGAGCAATCAGCCCTTAGAACTGTAGGTGCACTTACCAGAATTCACCAACCTGAGAAGCTCGTTTTCGCCGTCAACGTTTACCCGTAGGTTTTACCTCCGATGGTTTCCCCAGCCTGGTGACCATGCCTAAAGCCATGGAAGGGGTTGGTGAATCAGCTGCCGACCTCACCCACACCCTTATGGTGAAAACTCTCGTGGTCTTGAATCGGTTACATTGGTTCTCAAAGTTCCAAGGGATCCTAACCCCACTTTGATCAAAAAGACCCTGGCATGGTCACAAGTGCTACCCGCCTGCGGTGCCTACAGAAGGTCTCTACCATTACCTCTCCTCTTCATGTTAGGAGGGAGGGCGATGCTGCTTGGTTTGTTGCGAAAGGGCTCTGAAGGGGAACGCACACCGGTAAAAACGACTGGGATGGTTTGGAAACAAGAATCAACCCCTATATACGAGAGAGACCATCAAGGGATTTGGACTTGCAAATTGGCCCTTCTCCTGTTCTCCCTCAAAACCCAAAAATGCTCAGAAAGAACAGAAGAACTGGAGAAGGTCAGAAAAATGGAGTGCAAACTGCTGAGAGACAACACCACGCAACCCTACGACCTGGACCCATTTCCCGAGGGGAGGTGACCGCTTGCCTCACGCGCAGGAAGGCTTTCCGCACCACGGGCCAAAAGATCCTCACACTCGAAACCGGCAGTCCACGACCAGTGTCGCAGTCAAGTACCAAGGGGTCCACATGAAATTTAAAACAAGCTTCGGAAACTCTCAGCATTTCTTGGGAAGTTTACTCTTTGCGAATCTGTTTGTTTCCTTGTTTTCCTGGGAAAACCCATCGCATCCATTTGTGGGAATTGTAAGCTTCATTTGGTTTGATTCTGGCGCCAAAAAGTCCAAACTGTTTATTTGCCACTAACATGGTCTTCCCAAAATGTATAAAGTCCAACAACTCAGGAAGTGAGGCTAAGCACCTACCCACATGGTCCCTTGAACATGAGACAACTTGGTTTAACCGAACCCACCCCATTCTAATCTGAGACGCTTTAGATTTTCGTTCGCTAGTAAGACCCTCTGCAAATAACAAATGCGGTGTTTGGCTTTTTGAAGAGGGAAACAACAAGCAAACACTTAAACAGCTCACACTGATGCAATGTGAACGCATGACTACCCATGACTGTGAGCCCGAAAGCCCCCTGCCCAGAAGGGCACATTGATATAGCCCCTCAACATGGATCTGGAAAAGCGATTCTGTCACACCGAACTCCCATCACAAGACCGTGTGACCAGATGGTGAGTGACAATCAATCAAACAGGACCCGAAGCCCATAGCAACCCGAGAAATCTGTGCAACCTTAGCTAAGCTTCGGACCCTCTTGCCAAACGTGAGAAGGAAAAGGTGTCAATTGCGCAGGCTTAACATGGTGAGGCCAGTGTAAGCAAACTATTGAGGAAAAACACAAACTCTGGACTGAACAAACCCCCAAATTGACCAAAACCCCAAACCCCCAAACCCCCAAACCCCAAAATCCTTGGCCCAACACAAAAAAAAGTAATATGTTCAAATGTTGCTTCAAATTTCGTCCAGAACAAATTTGAGAGACCCCAGCTCAGTTGCCCAAGGCACCCAATCATAAAAGGTGATCACCAAGGGGCCATGACGAAATATGGAGCCAAAACGATCCAAAATTCTAAAAGGTGAAAAGGTCGATTCGCTTTGTGCACGTGAGCCAACAAAAAGCGATATATATATATATATATGCTCACCCCCCCCCCCCCAGGGCCTACCTTTCCACTTCAAAATGTACAAAACCCTCTTATTTTTAAAGACAGGGGGTGTGAGCATATATACGCAAGAAGTGTGCTGTTGCTGCATATATTTTTTGTGGGTGACAAGTCATGTTGAGTAACAACAGCAAAGAGTTTATAAACTATAAACTTACAAGACAGTTTATAAAGCATGTCAAGGGTTTTACGGTTTCCCTGCAACAAGGGCAGGGGGGGTCAGAACTCTTTACGGGGGGGGGGGGGTACTGAGAAGTCTTTACAAAGTTGGCTGAGTCACACCTCACTGCTAAGACTTCCAACCACCCCCCCCCCCCCTCCCCCCCAAGACTTCCAACCAACCCCCCCCCTCCCCCCCAAGACTTCCAACCAACCCCCCCCCCTGTAAGAGGGAAGAATTGGGCCTATGTGTCGCCCAAGGCCCTGAATAATAGTTTCCCGGGTTCTCCCTGGGCCAGTTCCAGGATATTAAAATAAATAAATAAATAAATAAATCAAAAAAACAATGATTTTTTTTTAAATTTCTGGAGGCCTCCATTTTTTGATGTTTTCTAAATAAAATAGAAATAGATAGTTTCCTGGGTTCTCCCTAGGCCAGTTCCAGGATATTTAAAAAATGTTAAACAAATCAAATATATAGTTTTTTTTTTTTTTTTAAACAACTCAAATAATTTAAATAGTTTTTTTATTTATTTTTTAAAATTTCTGAAGGCCTCCAAAAAATTAAAAAAAAAAAAAATATAAATAGTTTCGTGGGTTCTCCCTGGGCTAGTTCCAGGATATTTGATTTTTTTTAAAAAAAAAAAAAAAATCAAATAATTTAAATATTTATATTTTTTAAATTTTTGGAATTTCTGGAGGCCTTCAAAAATTTTAAAAAAATAACAAATATAAATAGTTTCCTGGGTTCTCCCTGGGCCAGTTCCAGGATATTGAAAAATTTAAAAAAATCAAATAATTTTAAAAATGAAAATAATTTAAATATTTATATTTTATAATTTTTTTACATTTCTGGAGGCCTCCAAAAATTTAAAAAAAAAAAATAAAAAATATAAATAGTTTCCTGGGTTCTCCCTGGGCCAGTTCCAGGATATTTAAAAAAAAATAAAAATTCAAACCATTTAAAACATTTCAATTAATTTAAATATTTATGTTGTATTTTTTTTAAATTTCTGGAGGCCTCCAAAAATTTAAGAAATTCAAAAAATTCAATTAATTTAAACAATTCAACTAATTTAAATATTTATATTTTTAATTTTTTTAAAATTTCTGGAGGCCTCCAAAAATTTAAAAAATTTAAAAAATATAAATAGTTTCCTGGGTTCTCCCTGGGCCAGTTCCAGGATAATTGAAAAATTGAAAAAAATCAAATAATTTAAAAAAATCAAATAATTTAAATATTTATATTTTTTAATTTTTTTAAATTTCTGGAGGCCTCCAAGAAATTAAATAATTTAAAAAATATAATTATTTGAATTATTTGAATTATTTCAATTATTTGATTTTTTTAAAATTTTTCAAATATCCTGGAACTGGCCCAGGGAGAACCCAGGAACCTATTTATATTTTTTATTTTTTTTAAATTTTTGGAGGCCTCCAGAAATTTAAAAAAATTAAAAAAATATAAATATTTAAATTATTTGAATTGTTTAAATTATTTTATTGTTTTTTATTTTTTTTAAATATCCTGGAACTGGCCCAGGGAGAACCCAGGAAATTATTTATATTTTTTTGTTTTTTTTTAAATTGTTGGAGGCCTCCAGAAATTAAAAAAAAATTAAAAAATATAAATATTTAAATTAATTGAATTTTTTAAATTATTTGAATTTTTTAAATTTTTCAAATATCCTGGAACTGGCCCAGGGAGAACCCAGGAAACTATTTATATTTTTTTTTTAAAAAATTATTTTATTTTTTTTTATTTTTTTTTAAGTATCCTGGAACTGGCCCAGAGAGAACCCGGGAAACTTTTTTTTGGAGGCCTCCAGATTGTTTTTTTATTGAATTATTTAAATTATTTGATTTTTTTTTTAATTTTTCAAATATCCTGGAACTGGCCCAGAGAGAACCCGGGAAACTATTTATATTTTTAAAATTGTTTGGAGGCCTCCAGATATTTCAATAGAATTCAAAAAATATAAATATTTAAATTAGTTGAATTTCTTTTTCTTTTTTTTTAATATTGATTTTTTTACATATCCTGGAACTGGACCAGAGAGAACCCGGGAAACTTTTTTTTGGAGGCCTCCAGATTGTTTTTTTTTGAACTATTGAAATTATTTGAATTTTTCAATTTTTTTAAATATCCTGGAACTGGCCCAGAGAGAACCCGGGAAACTATTTATATTTTTTTTTTGAAATTTTTGGAGGCCTCCAGATTTTTTTTAAAACATATTTAAATGATTTGAATTCTTTATTTGTTTTGATTTTTTGCTTTTTTTTAAATATCCCGGAACTGGCCCAGAGAGAACCCGGGAAACTATTTTTTCATTTGTTTGGAGGCCTCCAGAAATTAAAAGAATATATATTAAATGTAAAGACTTATTATCTTTTTAATTATTCAAATTATTCATGTTTTTCAACTTTTTCCAATATCCTGGAACTGGCCCAGGGAGAACCCGGGATATTACTCAAAAAAATATAAAATGGAGGCCTCCAGAAAGTTAAGACATTTTAATAAATGAATGTGTATTGTTTTGCTTGTTATTTTTTCAAGCTTGCTGAATATCCGGGAACTGGCCAGGGAAAACTTTTTTTAGACGCCTCTACAAATTTAAGAACAAATAACTACAAAAACAAACTCTATATTTTTAAATATCCGGGAACTGGCCAGGGAGAACCCTGGAATTTAATTATTGTTTTTGTACAAAAAAAGGAGGCCTCCAGAAATTTAAAAATTAGAAGATAAATAATTTTAGATTATTTGACATGTTTAAAACATTTTTTAAATATCCTGGAACTGGCCCAGGGAGAACCCTGGATTTTTGGTTGGTTTTTGGAGGCCTCCAGAAATTAAAAAAAATAATACTTAAATTATCTGATTTTTTAGGTTGTTTAAACAGAATGAAACTGGCCCAGGGAGAACCCTAGAAATGATTCAATTTTCATATTTTAAAAAGAATGCCTCCAGAATTTGAACAAAAACATTTTTATAATGCTTTCTCAGGGGCCGCCAAAAGGATTGAAGGTTTATCTTCTTTGAGTATTCCGCACGGGCCCAGGGAGGGCCCAGGATATGTCTTTTTCAGGGCTCCAACAAATTGAATAGCACACGTAGTCAAATTCATAGAACTATCTAAATAACTTAAACGTTTTTGTTCCGAGCCTCCAACAAATAATGCGCTAAGAAACACATTTGTACATTCCATAATTCGAATTGTTTGAATTCGAGACACCCAGATTCTTTAAATATTCTACAATGGGCCCAGGAAGGGCCCTGGACATAACTTGGATTATTTGAACAGATATGTTGTTCAGGACCTCCAACATTTTCATCAAAATAAGCAGTTCGCATTTTGGAATTATTTGAACTTTTTCATTAGGAAAAGTTTATTTTCGGAACTAGCCCAGGGGGTGCCCTTGAAATTGTTTAAATTGTGTGAAATATCTAAATACTTAGTTACCCAAACATGTTCATTTGTTCTAACTATTTAGGATGTTGGACACAAATGAATCTGGAGTTCTCCAAAAGGCGCCCGTCCCTTTGAACATATTCGAGTAGAAAGCATGTTGTTTTATAAGACATATTCTAAGTAGACTAGTTGTTCAAATCATGTTGGTTTATAATAGTTAGACAAAATAAGGTGCTGTTTTCCAAATATTGACACGATTCTCAAAGATTCGTGTAATTAGGCTAATTAGACCCACGTTGAGAAATAGAATAAGTACCAAGCGATTG